CTGACTTACCCCTCCCCCCCTTTCCCTGCTCTCCTCTTGGCGGCCGGGGCTGGGGGAACGCGACGGATCTTAGCGGCATTAAAAAAAAAAGCCGGGGAAAGCTTTTCCTCACGCTGGTTTGGTTTCGGTTGTTTGTTTTGGTATTTTCGGAGAAGTTATGTGCAGTGGCGGTTTTTTTTTCAGTAGGCCCCGCTCTCCTGATCGGCGTTTGTTCCCCGAGCAGGTCTCGGTGCTGTATTTCGCCAGGAGCGCGGAGCTGGCGGGGCTGCGCAGCGAGACCCTCTCGGTGCCACGGCAGATCACCTCCCTGCAGCTCTGGGAGGAGATCGTCAAGGTTCACCCAAGGTATTCGGGAAAGTTACTGCTGAGGTGCACAAAGTTCAACGTGGTTGGGAGTGTTTTGGTAAATACAAATTCAGCGTTTAGAGTTGAGCTGGAACACGTATCAGTACTGTGATACCATGAGAACAGTGACATTACCTTGTTCTTGTAACCTGCAGCAAGCGTTTTGTGTTTTGGCCAGCTGGAAATGGTGTAGCTTTAGGTATACGCAAGGAAAGACTAGGTCCAATAAATGTACCCAAAAGTTGTGCCTGAGGGGCACTTTAAGACATGTGGCCCATTGTCCAGGAGGGCCACAGCATGGTAACTGCTGCACGCGAAAACTGAGCTGTGTTATTAATCTGTGGGTAAGGTGAGATGTCTCAAGGAGGGATCAAGCACAGCCAGGACAATAAATAAGGAATTAATGATAATGTGCAGGTGTTTTCGATCACGTATCTTTAACTGTACCATTAGCCGTTCGTCTGAGCTTACGGCACGCACTGGAAGGCAGGTCAGGAAGGGAGCTGAAGCCCTGCCACAGGCTTCCAGCCACTCAACCTTTACATAGGAAATAGGTTCAGTCACTTTCAACCTCCTCTGCTTTGGCAAAGAAAAAAAACCACTGTTGGTTGCATTTCATAGGGAGTCTGGTCCTGAGAGAGCATTAGGTGTGCGCTGTAAGGACCCCTGTGGCACTGGTGCTTTTCGGCAGAAGTTCCCCCTCAGGTTAAGGCTGAGGGAAGGTGCTCAGTCCTGTCAAGAATGAGTCTGATAGACAAAGGTGTAACACTGTTTTGGAGGGGGGAGTTAAAAAAAAAAGAGGTATAGCAGAGGTTGAGGTCCTCGGGATTTAGTGCTGAATGCACTGGAATTTCCATAACTTTGGTCTTAGGTGCCAAAGTCTTCCTTTAGGCACCACCCTTCTTCATTAGATCTACTCTCAAAGGCTATGAAAAAAATTAACTATTTAGCAATAGCATCTGTTTCCAAATGAGACACTCTAACCAAATGTTAGACCAGGGGCCTTTTCCTCACAGACAACTGAGACTAAGTGTGTTTTGGGGGAGGAGGCAGTAGGGAATGAGTGTATTTTGCTTTGCAGCCTATTACTCGGTGTCAGAAGGAGCAGCAGCACCTTTGGTCAGTTTGCCATAGTTTGTTAACTTTGTCCTTTTATGAATGATGATTTGGGGCAGTACATTTTGCATGTGCAGTTACTTCACAGTGGCCTTCTTGGAAAATGCTTCTGCTCCTAGCTTTTCTGGAAAAACTCAACATAATTGTAGGGCACTGACCACAGACTTCTATTCACATTGCTAATGGATATTCAAACTGCAGCTTGAGCATACTTGACAATGCTCTTCTGTTCCACCCATTTTCCCCAATAAATTAACTTGCAAGTGACGGTAATTAGAGCCCATCCTTCTAATGAGTACTTCAGTTCCATAGTTGTGCTCCATTCCTCAGTGGCTTGCTTTACTTTCATACAGTCCCTCCCTTCAGTCTGCCTTCTGAGTCAGTGCTACTGTCTCAGCCTGTGCCTTGCCTACTTTTGTCTATCTGGCTGATAGGAAATAAGATGATTTTTACTTGTACCCTTTTGGCATGCCTACTTGTTTCTAGGCAATACACCTCTCTGCTGTCTGTACCAGATTTTGTAGTCTCAAACAATAACAGTTACCATGCCTGCACCTTCTAAAGTAAAATGTTGGCACTCTTTTTCTGGTGTCTTACTGGTGTTGCCTTCATACTCACTGTGTGATTGCACTTAGTCATGAAAGCGACTCCCTGCCTTACAGTATCCAGAGCTGTGGACTCTCACAGCAACATCTCACAGATGTGAAATAAAAAAATACACAGAAGATCTGACAGAAAACACACCATATCTGACCTCTTAGTTTTGTTGCCACTCCTTATCAATAGCAAATTTCAAACTTGTAAGTACAAAAGACCCAAAGCCTCATAAACTGTGAGGTTACACAACAAGAGCAACTCTCTGACCACTGAATCTTCATGAGATCTCGCCAACAGCATCCCACAATGCTTCTTGCCGTATAAGAAAATTGCTCCAGTCCAGCCAGACTGAATTAGAGAAACATTTCCTTCTAATCCCAAATTGGATGGTTGCTACCTCTTGAGTTACCTACTTTGTTAGAAGCTGCTGAAGTGGATCTGGTATACGTTGGTTTGTTCTGATGTAGGCCTATGACAAATCCAATTCCTGACTTCTGAAAATTATACTGAATTGGTTTCTCCTTAGCCACCACAAGAAAATCCAAAAGTAAGAGGTGAGTGTTTGTTGTATTTTTGAAAGTGTATTGGAAGCAGAGTTGCGTAAGCCTCAGTGGTATTTACCTCAGCTGCCCTAGACTGTGCACCAGTTTAATGAAATCTCATGGTTAAATGCAAACACTCTATTTAGAAACCTATTTGTGCTCCTGCCAATCCCCCTCAGGCTTGCCGTCATCCGGGA